GGGAGGAGGTCAGTAAGGACAGGATACACATTAGTATTGCTCCAACAGGAGAAACGCAATGGTGGTCCGAAGACAGAGTACTATACAAAGTCTTTCAATATTGTGGAAATACTGAAGGGGCACTTTTTTCATTGACTTTGTAACCACCATGGCAAAGATGGAAAAAGACAATGCAGCCCACTGTGAGAGTGAAAGCCAGAGGATACATAGAGGTATTACTCAGATATGAAACCATACTCTGCAAAGATTTTTCTTTGAATACTTGCTCAGACTACACCACTGTCAAAAGTACAAGTGGCATGGACTTGCTAACTGGTAAACGTATGGTTATGGGAACTGAACACAACTTGAAAAGTTTCACCTGGGATTTTGAAGGTGTTAAAAAGATACATTTGTACAACATTCTACAATAGGATGGTTATGGCTTTAAGGTCCAAACTGCCCTGAGTGCCCTCCCAAAAAAAAAAAGTCAGTGCTTCACAAGACAAAGCACTTATGAATTTATGAATGAACGTGTGAAAGTTCTGTCACAAAACTATGTTGTTACGAATGCTCATGCATTTTTAAGTGGGTAAATGGAAATCCTTGGCCTTTCCTAGTGGGAAAGGTTTTTTGAGTGGTACCCCCGGGTTGGACATGGGGGTCTACTGGTTCTATTGCACCCTTCTCCAACAAGTTTTTTTATCTCTTTTGAAAGGGCCAGGACCTGATGCGGATCCTGCACCACTGTCGGATGAACCTGGGTGCTCACTGGGGGCTGTGACAGAACTGAAGGCAATATCCTTTCTCGAGTGTATCGAGAAGCCACTTGTTGTCTGTAATGCCTCTCCAATGATGTAACTGAGAAGCCAAAAACTGTCCCGTCACAGACCCCGAACCTCTAGCGACGCCGAGGAACATTTCCATTATCTTTGGGGGGCGCCGGTGAGGAGGTGCAGAGCAAGTTGGTGGCCTGAAACGAGAACGGGGCACCTCTCTTTTCGAAGACAATCCAAGTCGAGAATCGTGCTGCAGTGGCCTGTAAGACTGCCCCTGTCTATGCTGCTGCAAAGCTGAATGATGAACAGGTAGCCGCTGTGCAGCCAGTGCAGGGTAGCTCACGCTATGCCCAATATGCTGGGAACGAGATTCAGCTGCCCTTACCCTGTGCTCAAGGGCCTCCTGAGCAGCTGGACCTAAGATTTGACCAGGCACTAATGGCAATTGACGGAGGTTGTTGTGACATACCTGAGGGAGCCGTCTAGCTTCTGTGATAAGCCCAAGAGCTTTCCCACTAGAGAAAGCCATTGATCCTAAAGACTGTAGAGAAGCCTCAAGCAGTTTTGATGGAGTATTATCTTGTGTTGTTGATGACATAGTCGAATGAAGTGCCAACAGCAAATGAGCCATAGAATTCACAATACGAGTCAATCCTGATACAATATTATATACACGAACCAGCAAATCATCAGTATGCCTGCACTCCGGGTTAGGGCAGCGTAGCTCCTGCTTAAGGGCTTAATCTGGAGACACAATCAATTATTAAATACACAGCTCTACAGAGAGCATGTTATCAAGACCTTTCTCCTGGGCATCAGCCATTGCAGCCAATGTACGCGCCCCTCGATCCGGTCTGGAAGAAGGAGCAGAGCGAAAAGCTGAAAAAACAACCTCAGTAAAGTCAGGGCAGCTAGGTATCAGGAAATCGTCCAGCTGAGCAACCAACCGACGCATGAGATTTGAAGGTCCCAACGCCGGAGGGGATGGGTCCATATTTAATTTACCAAGGACTTTCTTGATCATGTCCTGCAATGAAAATGCCACAGAAGAACCAGCACCCTGCAGACTTGAGCCCTCATCGCTATGGGAGTGTTGAGACTGAGTGTGTGCAGAAGAAGTCTCCAAGGGTATATAACAGTCCTGCTCATCCGTAACCAGTGAATCTGAAGCCGCCAAAGACAATGTGTCCAGGTCCTCCCTAGGACATTCGGCCATTGGTACAACCCTGGGCAACAAGGGGTTAACTACTGATGCTCTCACATCCTCATTTGCACTCTGAGTAACAGACAGAAATGATCTAGCCAACAAATTAGCCAGTCTTTGTTACCTAATTTCCAGTGGCATAAGACTACATTCTGGGCAAGGGTCAGTTAAAGCCTCCTTAAGATGGTCGATGCCAATACAGGCAGGGCAGTGAATATGTGCATCCATAAGGTCCATAGGACCTGAACATGTAGAACATGAGGCAGCCATAGTGCCTATGCCTGTAGGAAAAATAACTCTGGTCAACCAATGGGTTAACAACAGTGATAATACAGTACTGCAATAATAATGCGTTACGTGGTTGCCACAGTAACCACACGCAAAAACCGACGCCCTGGTATGCCAGTGAGAGCAACAATACTCTGAATGCACAGGTATGTACACGCAGTGAACACAGAACCCTGGTAAACCAATAAGTTCTAACAGTACTCACCACAGTGACTGGAACACTGCTTGTAAGGACCTTGGAACCAATCGGTCCAATATAATTCAATCCATACATCCAGTGACAAATCCAATATAATTCAACACAATCACGCTGTCTTTGCTCTCTTAAGATACAGCTATAGCGGGGAGTCTAATGTCAGCTAATGCCAACCCAAAAGCTGCGCACACTCAAATGAGATCTCTCCGCGAGAATGACAAAAAGACAGATCGTGACGTAGTCAGGAGCTGATATAGCTTCCGGCAGGTCATCGGTCAAAGTCATGTGTATCTGAATTAATACAAGATTCTTGATGTGATGCGTGAGACGCGACTCCTTTCACCATGTATTGACCATCTCTGGCGGTCTGAAACAGTGAAATAGAAGTAGATTGGCTTACTCTTGATGATTGTAGAAGCCTTGAACTTTAAACTTGACTTCTACCCTTCGGGGGCTAGTGTCAACAAGCAGTACAAGCAGTCCAGTTATTCCTCCTTGATAAAACCTGTATATTTTCCATTTTTTAGGCTGCAACATGCAGCAACATTACAATTTAATCAACAAATTAAACAGGAATATACATTAAATGCATAAGTAAATAATAAAATTAATAATTTCACTGTCCTTGACAGGTGATGCTTTGCCTACGGTAAACTCGATTAGCATATAAAGATTAACAATAAATAAAGTGCAATAATATTATTATCACAATTTTTTTTTAATAGTTATATTTAATGAGTCACACTGTGTGCTGTCACGGGGTCCAGCGCGCCGCCAGATCCAATCCCCACTCCCGAACTATCAAAATAACCTGAGTACTAATTATCTGCACCTGTCACCCTCCAATCATCACACGTTTAAAACTGGCTTCACATCCTCACTCTGTTGTCTGGTCTTGTTGTTGCTACATTGACTTACCTGAATACTCACCTTGTGGATTTACTCACCTGGGGACTGCTCTCTCCTTCTCCTTCCATCGCTGGCCATCAGCTTGTATTATTCTCTCTGCAAACCTGCAACAGATAAGAAAGAGCTGCTAGCGTGTGAGCCAAGAGCTCCAACCTGAACTCTGTTTATTTTACTTGCCTAAGTTGTATTCTTTGTTGTCTTCTGGCGATCCTGCTAGAATAAACATTTGAGTTGAATTACTGAAATAAATGAACTTTTCCATGACATTCTAATTTGTTGAGATGCACCTGTACTTACATCCATGTTCTCCGTCTGTGTATCCATGCCATGTGCAGTGTGAGGACCAAACCAAATCTTCATGTGCTCTCATGAGAACCAGGCTAAAAAACTTATGTGCACCCCTGCCTATAATGATAATTAATTGTGTAATTGATCATATTTGAGCATTTGATTTTTTTCCCCTCAGCAAATATTGATCTATAATTATTTGTGACTAATTAGATTAATTAATGAGCAAATCGTGTAACTATTTAGATTAAAAATAATTCATTGACAGTCCTAATTGTTATTGAATTTATCATTTTAATACTACTCATCCACTCCCTGGTAAGAACATCACTAAACATGAATTATAACAAAATAATGAATAAACATTTTTGGAAGAAAAAGTAACTTTGCTACCTCCACTTCCTTACTCCGATTTGATGGCAAACTTTTGAAGCCAGACATTTCCATGATGAAAGTTCTTACTGAAGCTTGATGCGAAAGATGTGAAAGACAAGTAATGACTATGTAACAATGATGGAAGGTGGAAGCATAGGTACAGGATGGGCTGTGGATGGTTCGGTGGAGTGAAGCATGAGCAGTATGGATCTGGAGGGACTTTGTGCCGAGTAACACACAAACACGGTAGAACTGAACTCAACTGCAGGACCTTTATTGAAGATAAATTGTAGACAGGTGAGTAACAGGGTGTTGAACGGGGAACACAGCACACAACAGCAGATCCCGGCAGTAGAATAGGTCATGAATGCAAAGGAATACAGGCAGAGCAAACACAGCAATGACAGACACAATACTGTGATTCCCAGAACAAGATCAGAGGCAATTGATGGGATGATGGTAGGTGTTTACAGTGGGTGGAGGAAAACATCCAGAGGACGAGGGAGCAGCAGGGTCACATCAACTTGAGAAGCAAGACTCCAGAATGGCTGTGTGAGGTGAGTATAAGTAGCATCCTCAATGAGTGTGCTGTTTGTGTGCGGGTGTAATTCATGAACAGTCCAGTATGAGTGAATGGTGTGTGGAGTCCAGACAACTAGCCTATATTATTTACCAAGATTAACAAATGGACAGAATGGATAGGAATCATTTTTCATAACATACTAAAACACACTTAGGTTATACTGTAATGTTATTTATGCATTTTTTTAATCAATAATTATTATTTTAATTACTTTATATATTAATATTATTTGACCGTTTCCGTTGTGTTTATTATAATAATGTCGACAGTGCGCTTTTAGTTCAATGCTGAACAATAGCTGAGCTAGTAATTGACATCATCGCGGGCTTTGCATTGACAGAAATGAACGCTCGCGCTGTCCAAGGTGCTGCAGAGCACGTGACCCGCTGTAGCGACAGCCCCTGCTCGCATCACAGCTTTACCTCAACAACTTACTTCAGCTATCGTTTTCAGCAGTCGACGAGAGCCACGGCGTACTGGGTAAGCGATTTTCACCTCCTTCCAAACGCCTCTGTGTATGTGTTGTGTGTACTAGTCTATTCTGCAGAAATCCCATATAGATACACATCGAGACCTTTATTCACAGAAACAGAGTTCATTAACACTCCAGACGCGCTCGTGCGATGAGGAATATAGTTTCGGTTTTGTCCGAATGGATCATTTGTTGTTCTTTTCTGAACGGATTCAGGTGAGCTCGATTAATGCTGTTTGTTGGCATACGTGCTTTAAAAGATTTCTAACATGCAACATGAAGGGCTTGACTATGTTCTTCTGTTGAAGCTCATGTGGGAGTTCTCGAGCTGCGTGTGGGGCGTATCACCTCTGGAGCTTCACTCAAGACGACCAGACATTACAGATCTACATCGTGCATCTCTGTATTATTCTTAGTGTCTGCGAACTGGTCTGAAAATGAAGAGATGAGCTTGTGCACTTGTGCTTTATGAACCACATAAGGTTGCACACTCAAACATAAACGCCCTTAACGTGTTATCCAGAACACAGAGTTGCTTAATTGCCTAAGACTTTATTTATTATCGTTGAGACACACATAGGAATCAATCATCATGGGCAGTGATGTTACAGATTATTAAATATATAAAAGAGATAGGGCTAGTTGTCACGTTTCACACCAGTAAATATTTGGTTAGGTATGTTTTTTTCCCCTTGCAAAAAAAAGCTGCAAGACATTCCCACGGTTTCCCAGAAAATAAATAAATGCATTAATAAGAATAAATAAAAATTCAGTTTATTGAACTTGTAGTGGGGCATGTTGTCACACTGTGGGGGGGTTTATTGACATGAAAAAAAAATACTGGCAGACACTTAAACTTCAGTTTTTATGCTTTTTGTCCTGCAGTCGTGTTTGTCTACTAGGATTTGTGTTAAGTCAGTGTTTCCCAACCCTGTTTCTGGAGGCACGCCATCGCGACTCTTTTTAATTCCTAACACTTGATTCAACTCCAAAAGCTGAAATAGATGAGTCAGATAAGGGAGCAATCCAAAATGTGTACCGCTGCTCTGCCTCCAGGAACAGAGAAGGGAAACACTGCTGTAAGCACCTAATTCTTCCTTAGGATGTCAGAAAGACTGCCAGATGAACTGTTATTGTGTTTGTTTGTTGTTCCTCCAGTGTCTATGGCCGTATGTTGAGCGATCAGCGATGACGTCTGCCGCCTGCTTCTGCTGAAAGAGGATTTAACCCTTTAAAGCACGTATGGTCAAAACCACAGTTTCAGACAAAAAGTAACATGATGGATAAACACTGTGGATACTGCAACGTGTAGATGACGGTTGAAAAAAATAAAATGCAGCACAGAAATAAGGTTGATGAGGAGAAAAGTCGAGTAGATGTTGAAACATCCTGAGAGAGACTGTCTGGTGGTTTACGTGATTTGGAGATTGTGGTCACTATTATAAGTTGTCCACTCTAAATCTTACTAAGGTTATTATAAACTCAGCAACGTCTACATTATGATTCTTCAAATGCGACATGGTGCCCATCTCCTCTGGATTGGACTGGTTGTATGTGCTGTGGAAGCTGGAGCTAGTCTCCGGTTTACTGGCGCAGAGGGACAGTGGGCCTCGTTCCCCATGTGGAACGCTTGCTGTGAGAGCGAGATGAGCTTCAGCATGAAAACCAAGAATTTGAAGGGACTTCTGGTGTACTTTGATGATGAAGGCTTCTGCAATTTCCTCGAGCTACACATACAAGAGGGGAAACTCAGATTACGCTTTTCTATCTTCTGTGCTGAGCCTGCTTCCGTGCTTTCAGATGCTGTCATCAATGACAACCAGTGGCATGAAGTCACAATCAGGAGGAACTTCAGAAACACTACACTCATCGTTGACAAAGAAATAAAGTGGGAGGAGGTTAAGTCCAAAAGGCGGGATATGACTGTCTTCAGTCACCTGTTTTTAGGAGGGATTCCACCAGAATTGCGATCGGTGTCTTTACAGCTGACATCGGACACTGTGAAAGATCTCACTCCCTTTATGGGCTGGATAACAGACTTGAAAGTCAACAATTCGGAGCCTGTCATGATTAACAGTGCCGGGGTCAGCGCTGACCTCTGTGGCTCACACAACATGTGCTTAAACGGAGGTGAATGCAGTGTTGTCAACAATGAGCCTACATGTGACTGCTCTGAAACCGGCTATCAGGGAAAGGACTGCGGTGAAGGTAAGATATCTCGATTCAGCTACATTGCATGTGATTGATAAAGCTGCAAGTCATTTGCAAATCAGTGAACAAGCCTAGACTAATTCTGCTTTCAAAGGAGTAGTTCACCCAAAAATGAAAATTAGCTGAAAACGTGTTCACCCTCAGGCCATCCAAGAAGATGTAGATGAATAGAAATGAGTCAAGTGAGTGAAGTGAAGTGACATGTGGCCAAGTATGGTGACCCATACTCAGAATTAGTGCTCTGCATTTACCCATCCAAAGTGCACACACACAGCAGTGAACACACACACACACCGTGAACACACACCCGGAGCAGTGGGTAGAGTAGAGTAGAAATGTAGCATTGCATCAGTGTCTCCGCAATGGATGCTCTGCAGTGAATGGGTGCCGTCAGAATGAGAGTCCAAACAGCTGGTAAAAACATCACAATAATCCACAGCACTCCAGGTCATGGGAACTCCTGTTCCCATGAAGAAACAAACTCATGGACATCTGGGATGGCCTGAGGGTGAGCAAATGTTCAGCAAAGAGTTCAAATACATTCTCTCAAACATTTGCAGTCACATTTCTTGTTATGCTATTACGCTACACAGATCTGAGATCTCTTTATATTTGTAATGCACTTTGTCTAAATGTTTACTTTCGTATTTTGTGTTTACTCTCAAGTTCAAGTCAGACATGTTCAACTTTGATTATAGAGCATAAATTAGCAAGTATGTATGTGAATGTTAAATTCTTTATATACAAAGTGTCCCTTTAAAAGTAGTACAGTATCTGTGCATAGTAAATATTGATTCACCGGTCAGTTTTTGGAAGTCTAGATTAGCTATAGATTGGATCAGTCAGCAAGAGTTATAACACAGCCCAGGAATAATGTTGAATGCTCATTTCATTACAGCATTTGTAAAGTCTGTAGCTGGAATCTCTCTTGTTTTGAGTTTATTGACTAGCATATTCCATTAAATGTGTAATATGTAGACAATAGTGTCTTTAAACACTGAGCAGATCATCATTTAGTGGGTTAAAGGGTAAGAGGGGTGCATTCTTCGTAGACTGGAAAATATGTGGTTCTAGACATTTTGAAAAAGAGACTCATTGTCACGAATTCAGTCCATGGACTTCTGTTTATTCACCACCAGAGAGGTCACCCTTTCCATTTCATTGACTCTCGCACTACACAAACTGTTGCATAGCACCCCAGACTACATTTCCCATCATTCTTTGCACAATTTGCACACTGCCCTGATTGCACTCATTGCACACAGCTGTTTCTAATCACCTCATTCACTATATAACACCCACTCTAACCACATTTCTCTGCTGAGTATTGTTTAGCCATTACCCCTTTCCGAGTCTCCGTGTTTTCCTTGTTTTGCCTTGCCTGTTTTTGCGGTTTCTGATCTTTGCCTGTTTCCTTGGATTTCTCCCTTTCCGAGTCTCCGTGTTTTCCTTGTTTTGCCTTGCCTGTTTCCTTGGATTTCTCCCTCTCGTCTCGCCCCTTTGATTCTGTCTGCTGATGGGTGACCTACGCTAGCCCTAGGACTATTCTTGTGTTTTGCCCGCCATATACCTGTTTGCCATTGTTTTGACCCTGCCTGTGTACTACGTCTCTTTAATAAAGCCTGCAGATGGATCCACATGTCTCACGTCTCGTCAGCCCCGTTACACTCATCATCTGAAATGATCTACATTTCTCTCTGTTTTATGATTGGCTTGTTTGCTGTATTTATTTTTTGTCACCAACAGCAACTGCTTTGTTGCAGATTGCATACACCATACTTTGATTATCCAGTGGCACTTTTAATGAATACAGACTTAGACTCCTTTGTAGATTGATACTTGGGTCATTCTGTGTCAAATCAACCAAATTTCAGAAACTTCCCTGGCTCAGATGTTTGATTTTGCTAATATTTTTTTTCTAAAGAAAGATAGGGGGGGGGTCAAAATGACAGGTTTCACCTGAGATACAGAGCCAAATTACAGGGGGGTAAATGACTTCAGAAAGATGGCCTCATCATAATGGTATAATTACACAGAGATTGGTAGGTTTATTAGTAAAATCTGTTGACTTTTGCAATCCGTTACATTATGTGCTAATGGTGACCATTCAAAAATGGGGAAAGAGCACTTTTTAAAGTTTTTTTTTTCTCTCCAAAGTTTGCATGTTAAAATGAACAAAATCCCTTCTTCCAAATTTTCATGAAAGTGATTCAAATATAGAATCTTATAAATAGAATATTGAGAGCAAGTAAATGTGTCTCAACTTGACGTTTCAGTGCAGTCAGTAGCACTCAGACAAGTATGTTCTATGCAGTTGTTTTGATAGAGAGAAACAAGATATCATTCTAATTTCAACATTATTTATTCTTCAGACACTGTTCTTTAAATAAAATAAGTATCAGCTGTATAAAAAGTGACCAACATTTGGTTTTCGACCACTGAAAATGGGTAATATTCAATAATCTGAATATGGAGCTGCATTGAGATCCCCATATTTCTGGAACTGAGGGGCCTTGAAAATTATGATTTAAAAAAAAAAAAAGTTTATTAAGAACTAGAATCTAAAATAATATTGCAATATCTTTAAAGGGCACCTATTATGCAAAATCCACTTTTACAAGGTTTGGACAGAAATGTGAGTTGGAATTGTGTGTACACAGCCAAATTAAAATGATACAAATCCATCCAGTCTTTTTTTTTTTAAATCTTCTTAAAACCAAATCAGGCTCAAAAAATAAGCCGTTTGGATCCTGTCCATTGCGGTAGCCCCACCCACTGCTATTGACTGACAGCCGTGTATTACCATATCCTCAGCTCTCAGTCTGTTGTGCCATGTCCGCCATTTTGTCTGCGTTGCATCCATTGTTACAAAGCGGCTGTGAAAAAATATACAAGTATATAAATGATTCAGACTACCATTCCGAGACATTCTGGTTCATTCGCATTATTGTTTCTTCTGCTGTAGTTTCTCCTTGTTCTGGGTCTGAGTCCGGTTCATACATGTACGGCTGAATACCGGTCCTCTCACTCTCGCTCATGTTGCTTCTCCTTTCTGTTTATTGCCATATGCAAAGCAGAGACATCTAGACTCCATCACTTCTGGAGTCAGGCGGGAAGTTGCAGCTCATTTTCATGTAAGGGAACACACGCCTGAAACAGCACTTTTTAGACCCGCCCCAAAAATGACACTTTTCAACACTTATAATAAACAATCTGTATGGTATTTTGAGCTGAAACTTCACAGGCACATTCAGGAGAGCCATAAGATTAATATTACATCTTGTAAAAAGGGGCATAATAGGTGCCCTTTAATACTTCTGGAGTTATAGGCAAGCAGACTTTGAAAAAATTATATTTATGGAATTTAGACATGTTCAATGCAGTTGTTTTGACAGAAGGAAACAATACACATTTCTAGTTTCAACATTATTTGTTCTTCAGACATTCCTCTTTCAGTTGTTTTGATAGAGAGAAACAAGATATCATTCTAATTTCAACATTATTTATTCTTCAGACACTGTTCTTTAAATAAAATAAGTATCAGCTGTATAAAAAGTGACCAACATTTGGTTTTCGACCACTGAAAATGGGTAATATTCAATAATCTGAATATGGAGCTGCATTGAGATCCCCATATTTCTGGAACTGAGGGGCCTTGAAAATTATGATTTAAAAAAAAAAAAGTTTATTAAGAACTAGAATCTAAAATAATATTGCAATATCTTTAAAGGGCACCTATTATGCAAAATCCACTTTTACAAGGTGTTTGGACAGAAATGTGTGTTGGAATTGTGTGTACACAGCCAAATTAAAATGATACAAATCCATCCAGTCTTTTTTTTTAAAATCTTCTTAAAACCAAATCAGGCTCAAAAAATAAGCCGTTTGGATCCTGTCCATTGCGGTAGCCCCGCCCACTGCTATTGACTGACAGCCGTGTATTACCATATCCTCAGCTCTCAGTCTGTTGTGCCATGTCCGCCATTTTGTCTGCGTCCGATCGGCTGTGTTGCATCCATTGTTACAAAGCGGCTATGAAAAAATATACAAGTACATAAATGATTCAGACTACCATTCTGGTTCATTCGCATTATTGTTTCTTCTGCTGTAGTTTCTCCTTGTTCTGGGTCTGAGTCCGGTTCGTACATGTACGGCTGAATACCGGTCCTCTCACTCTCGCTCATGTTGCTTCTCCTTTCTGTTTATTGCCATACGCAAAGCAGAGACATCTAGACTCCGTCCCTTCTGGAGTCAGGCGGGAAGTTGCAGCTCATTTTCATGAAAGGGAACACACGCCTGAAACAGCACTTTTTAGATTTGCTTTGTTTCACAGAACTAATTGTTGCCTGGGTTGCGTGCATATGTGTGGGGCGGAGCTATCAAAATAGGGGCGAGACACTTTTGGGGTAGGGGCGTGTTTGTTTTGGTGATTTCAAATGTCAACATTGGCTACCAGAAATTGCTTACTCCACCTTTAAAAATGAAGATGCCAAAAGTAAACTTTAAGACCCCAAATCTAAAAGGGCATTAAAATATCTAATACTTCTTGAGTTACAGGCATGCTCACTTTGGAGAAAAAAAACTTAAAAAAGTACTCCTTCTCCATTTTTGAATGGTTACCATTGGCACATGATGTAACAAAGATTGCTAAAATCAACAGATTTTACTAATAGACCTACCAATCTCTATTTAAAAATAACATTATGATGCTGTTGTTGATATGTTGTTAAGTCATTTCCCCTCCTGTAATTTGACTCTGAATCTCAGGTGAAAATTGCCATTTTGATTCCCATTTACAAAAGAATTGATTGCTCTGTAAATATGCACCTGTGGCATTTAATATTTTGGCTTTCGCCAGTATAAATGTTTATCTTATTTGAGAAAAAATATTAGCAAAAAAAAAAAAAAAACTGAGCCGAGGTTGAGTTGACACAGAATGACACACTTATCATTGAAACCTGACAGTGATTTATATTTGAATTTAAAAATAACTGATG